CACTTGTTAATTGAGTGTGATTAGCTTGTAATTCTAAAAACTAAACGTAGCCCTATTAACAACGAGTAGAGCTGCTTCCACGCCTACAACAAACATCTAAGGAAACATGGTTTGTCGAATGTTTGCCAAACGTTTGATACAGGTTTATTAAAATAACAAACATTTTATTGGTTCACCTTTATGACTGATCGATTCATCGATTCATTAATCTACTGCAGTTATGATTTTGTTGTCACTAAAGCAAGTCGCGTGTGTAGGTATATAGGAGCTGTACTCATAAATCATGATTATTATTCATAACCACTAAAAAATAAAAAGATGTATTGAATTAAGAGACGATGGTGGGTAAGACAACTACCTACTACAACGCCGAAAAACTTATAGTGGTGATCGTTTCATTTTGGATTTATATTCGCATGCGTTTTGCAAGTGATTTGTTTAATAATTTTGCAAAAATATCAAGTAGGTATCTACACAAGTGCCGATTTTGAATTAGGTATCTATGCACGGTATTAATGGTATGAAACATTGGAGCTAGCTGTATTCTAATGTAATAATATGTGAATCAGACATAATAGTATTAGTGGGCTTTAAGTTTTAGATTTAAAACGTAGTTTAACTTAATTTTCGATATTTGTGTGGGCAATTAAAAAAAATTAAGTTTTTTGTCACAGTACTAATATACCGCTCCTATACTTACGTTGGTTAATATATTATACATACAGTTTAGTTATAAATTGTTTAATCGTACACCTAATGTAACACCTGTTGATATAGTATACGATTTCCGAAAAAAAAAACAATAATTGATATAGTATGGCGTGTTGGCGATAGTGTTTAAAAAAAATATGCCGTATATGTATGTACGATACGTACCTATATGTATAATGTATATACTATATAATGTACTATAGTTTTGAAAAATAAGTTTATGGGCGTTTTAATAAGCCGCATACAAAATACAGGTCCACGTAAATAGGTATCTATAACATACCCATAATAGAGTTATATATAAAAAACAATAATCGTTAACTATTTTGTATAATGTATAATGACGAATGATATATTGATATATACATATTATTATGTATATTGCCTACCTATATACAGGTATTTATATTATGTATTGTACATAATAGACAGCTGTAAACGTATACATAACGACTATTTACGTGTATACATACCATACGTCAACTTAACTATATTATGTTTTCTGATAAAATGAAAACGATCACAATAATAATAATAATAACTTGTCATTTAGTCCCAACACAATTGCAGCTAGAGGAGAGTGTATAAACTATAACTACTCCTAATTTGGAAATTAGTACCTATATAATATTATACAATATACGTAAAATGTACCTACAGGCAGGTAAATGGTGATATATTATGTATATATACATATATATATATATACTTATAGTGTAAGTGTGTAATTATATATATATATGTATGTAAACAGACACGTGTACGTCTATATATAGGTATACGTATACAATAAATAGTATAAAGTATCTCAATATGTTTTGAACAACATTTTCGTACATATTATACGAGTCGTGTACAAATCGTTTTTTATTGTGCTCGAGCTTATTTTTCCCGTATACTGCATTATAATATATGTGCGTGTACATAATAACGTTTTATATGTGATTCGGACTTTCACATATATAATAGGTATGTATAATACCGTCACACACATGTAAGGTGTACCGATCTTTTAATGGTATGTAGGACAACCCACGTCTTTTACCCAACCACCATCGACAAATATTATATATATATGAGGTAAGTATAGATAGGTACCTATACCTTGTAAACCTCTATAGCCGATTATATAGATATAGTCTAGCGCGCAGGGTATTTAAATCCATCGTATATATACTATGATATAGTATGTATAATATAATATTACATAATACAGCCTATTACAGGTACCAATAATAATATTATTACTATGTATAATGTATATGTATTATATTATTATACTAGAGCTTATAGTTAATTTGTGTCAATATACGGTGTACATACTGACATACTGTACAAGCATTATGTAGGTACAACTTTTACCTATATGGAAATATAGTTGGCTGTAGGTATAACTTTAAGTCGTCTGCACTTCTATTTAGATACAAATACATACAATGTTCTGGCAGAACTCGATATTATCTATTTAAATTAATTTGAGAGACGCTTACTTATTTATCCCACAGTATTGTAATTTCATATGTAAATAGAACAATTATTTTGATGTATTTAATGTTTTTGGGAGGAACTGGTTGACTCACCCTGAAGTACAGTTGAATAAACTAAACATTAAACAGTTATAACCTGTCACCCAATCAGCAATAATTGGAAAATATTAATATATTTTCACCATATGGTATAAAGATGGTTTTTGTAATGTTCTCTACGAAGAAATTTAGAAATATTGAGAAAATATTTGCCAATCATATATTTGCATACATATGTTATGAACATCGAATGAAATCGAAAATCTCTGCTGAAAAACAAGAAACCGCAAATGTGCAATTTCCGATAAGCGGGTATAATATACCTACACTATTACAATTTAAAAATATTAAGTAAAAATAATATGCTGTAACCACATACAGTTATAAATTATAATGTAATCATAATAAAGACAGCGTAAACACTTAGTTAATTCGTAATTAAATAATATAATTTGTATAATTGATGTGAAACATCTAATGCAGTGTATGAGACCGTCTGTAGGCATTGCAACGGTCGAACGCACGGATAGAGCGCCACGAGTGTGTCTTTTAAAATAAAGAATAGTTTTTCTTAACAAAATCTGAATATTTTTCTTGATGCCATGTTTATTTTCTTTCAATAAACCATCCAATAGTGTCGTGCATATTTTTTATGCAAAATAATTTCGATGTTTCACATCTGCCAGGCGTAGGTACTTAATTTTTTTTTTATTAATTTTTATAGACAGACAGACTGCAGACAGTATTAATGATTTAAATTGGTTTTTAAATTATATAAATTATTTCTAAGCTACTCTGTTCATGTTAGCTCTTGGCTCTTACCTATATATTTAATTACACATTATGCAAATAGTTGAAGCCACTTAAAGGATTTCAATTATATATAATGTACATATTATATTCGTTAATGAAAATAATATATTATATGGCACCAGTAGTTGTAGTTGTGCAATTATTGTTAGGTACATGCATACAATTATTTATTCGTTTTCAACAACAGGTGTGAAATAAACATATGTATTATGTTAACACTTTTTACATGTCAAAAGTAATTCACATGTGGCTTTTTGTTTTTTTGGGTCACAAACTTAATTTTAAGTACATTGATTTTTACAAACACTATTATAGGTACGTAAAATATAAAAGCATGCAAAACAATATAAAAATTAAAAACCAAAACTGTTTTAATGGTAAAACCTCATACAGATTTTTTGACCATCGACAATGGTTAATTGTATATTTGTATTGATAATAGGAGATATGAAATAGATAATTCATATACAAAATATCCTTTGATATAAAGTAAAGATTTACGTTAACGACAAACGTTGATTTAAAATTTAAGACTTGCTTACAATCTGATAGCACTATAGCAGATTATAGAGATCTCATAACTAAATATTGTCGGTAGGTATTTAAAAAAAAATTATTAAAGCATCATTAGTTTATAGGGTGAGATCCATTTTGACCAAAATCATACTCTTCCCTTTTCGGCCCAACCAAAAAGTTTAGTATTTAATTTATTTTAGAAATTTAGAAATTATTAAAACCTATATTATAATATATTTTATAATGATTAACAATACGTAAGTAACAACATTTTATATAACTTATAATTTTAAAAATATTTCATAATATTATGTATAAAATAAAGTAGATACCTATACGACCTATACTTATAATAACTGTAGAAGATATTAATCAAATGATTTTTGACAAAAAATAGGTACGTATTATTATTATTGTTATTAATTTATATATTCATTAATACCTAAATACATTGTATAAAACTTATATTTTTAATAATTTTCGTTGTTTAAAACCAAAAGTGGATACCTATCAAACATTTTGGTTCGGTCGAAAAGTGAATTGGCTGAAAAGGAAATGGTACCTTGTATGACATATGTGTTCATTTTATATTATGGAGAACCGTATTCAATTGTCCCGCGGTTTGTGGTGAACTTATGTCTATAGATTTCTTATAATATTATTATGATCTACAATCCAAAGCTATTCATATTATATGAATACTAGTAGCTATTAATTTTGTTAAAAGAATAATTTTTATTCGATAGGTATAATTATTCAAGTACAGTTTATCAGAAGATAAGACAGAAAAGTAACATAATATATACCTCTCAGTCTCTCATTAACATAGTTGTGACATGAAAGGAAATCTTTTTTTTCAACTAATAAATTGTTCATTAGGTAAGTTAAATAAATAAAATACAATTTAAGGTTTTGGGCGATTTCCACTGATTACACCTTTTCTGTCTAAACCAAATATAATATATTATTTTATTGACACTAACTAAAATGTATAGGGCTATAGATTATGTCCCAATTAACCTGAGTTCACATTAAGTCTAGAGCATCGAATAAGTCATCAAAAATGTGTTAATAGATACTGCCCAGTATACTTCGTTGATCCGTTTTACAAGTCAAAATAACTTGCAGATTTATCTTTTGAACCAAAACCTATAAGTCTATTAGGTTTAGACTCTATTCCATGAAAATTCATTCACGGACAAAATATTAAGTCAACTTCCTTTGTTAACACCCTATATTGTAATCGAACACAAAATTAATGGCACGTGCATTTTGTCACAATCGGAACCTGCTTAAAAACGTGTACAGCAACCACTGAACAAACATAAAAGTTTATAAAAATCTATGGATCTCCCCCATGTTTTAATTATTGCTCATCGCTAGAACTCTTAAGAAGTTGTACTGTGTTATACCCATCACTGTTTTCTGAAAAATATGGCTTCAACGCTATTTAAGTCTTATGTCTTACTTATAGTGCTATGTATCGGTATAACATTGATCCATAAATCACAAAGTCCACCAACCACAAAAGGTAACTGTAATTTTGTTAACATGTTGTATATTTATCATTTAAATTACTCTTATTGATTATAGTATAAGGTAACTCTATGACGTTTATCAGATAAAAAAATATTATAAGCGTATACAATATAAATCATGAATGATTATGATAATATAATATCTATACGATGTACTTACTATACATTGTATTTATATGACAATCATTAGGTAAGTAACATTTTTTCTTATTTATAAAGTACTATGTATTTAATTTTATTACTTATTTATATTAGACAACTCTTTTGTTGTGTATAACTTTATAAGATAAACAAAATACAGTAGACGCTTCTTAAAGTGTTCGCTGGTTATAAGAATCTGCCAATTATTATAATCGTTTAATCAGGATTTGTATACTTTATCAATCATCGATGATCATAATATATCTACTATGTATTTTTTTTTTATGGTAGTTGATTAATCTGATTTTTATTCTATTATTGACATGAGTCACTCAGGCCAACCGGGGCACGTTTGTGGATCAGTGACTATGTTGAATGTTGATCAATTGGACAATTCAAATTAAACTTAACATTAGTATTACAAGAAACATTAATATTAGACGAGACTGTATTTTTAGGAATTTGGACATCAACATTGTTTTTTCTAGTCTCAACTATAGTTTTTTGAAACCAGTGGGACAGCTATCTTCGTAGGAAGTAGACGTCCCCAGAAGCGTTTGATCATAATCCTTTTAGGTCAAAAAGAAAGTTGAAGTACTTTAATAAAATAATGGGGCAAAATATGGATGATTTGTAACCACTTTAGTAACAGTGACATAAATATTGCTAAACTGTTAATCTTTGATCTGGAAAGCATTTACTTGAGGGTCAAACCTGGATACAAATATTTCATCCAACTTAGCCATCGGAGCAGCAGACAAGGAATAAGGATGAAGGGGCATTATGGTTGGAACGATCACATAATACTTGGGGAGATTAGAAATTCTGGCTACGACACTGTATTGTTGTATATTTGAAAAGATTAGGCCATTCAAATTATGCCCATACTATTACCTCACCCAAATTGAGAAAATGGTAAAAACTAGGTCTGGATCATCAACATTCACGAGCTGAAATATTGCCATGTGCCTTTAAATATTGTATTGTATGTATTTAAGAGAAATTAGCCTAAACTTAATTGTATTTTTAGGTAACAGTGAAAAGACAGAAAAAATTGTGACGACGAAAAATGTGTTGAGTTGTATGCTTGCTAGCAGTGAGTAATGCATTTACAATACATCTACCTATAGTTTTAATATATTTTAGAGGGGATAAACTTTTGAATTTAATGACAAATGAAAGCTTTATAATTAATAATATATAGTCGTATGCTCATTGCTCAGTGTTGGGAAATATCTAGATAAGTAGATAAAAATAATATATCTTTTATCTTATATAGATAATTTTCAGCTCGATTATATTTATCTTCATCTTGATCAAATTATAGTTTTCTGTGTGTACATATATGTGTATATAATTTATTTTAACGGACAAAGAAAAATGTTGAAAATGAATAGTATAATTCATATTTTTTATTTAGTATAGTATAATAATTATAGTATAGAATCGTATCTGCAACAATAAACTACATTTTTATTATTTAGTTTATTTTATTCTGTACAGATGGCGCCGATGTTGTATTTTTGACATAAATATTTCCTACTTTTTTGGTGGAGTTTCCTAAAATGTTCTTTCATAAGAACCTTGTCCTGAATATTACGAACACAGCGAAAAAAGAGTCAGCCAAATCGGTTCAGTAGTTTTCTTGGTTAGAGCGGTCGTAGAAAATCCCTTAAAATTGTTTATAGTAGTATAGATATAGAATATATTATAGTATAGATATAGATTATATAATATTTAGACAATAGACAAATAAAATAAAATAAACTCCGGGAACATTTTTAGCTTGAAACGTTTGACATGTTAGAATTTTTTGCCGTTTGTACATTTTTTGAGTTCGAACTATTTTGATTTTCAAACTTTTTTGTTCGAGTTCGAATTCAATTTTTTAAAAACTTGGTTCGACTTTTGAACTGGAACCGAACACCTAAAGTTTGATTCGATTATTTGAACTTCAAACAGTTCGACCCGCCTCTAATAAATAGCAGAGCGCTACCACACGTGGACGTACATGCCAATTACGCAGCACTTTACACACTAATTACAATTAATGTGAATTGTACTGAAACACTGAAAGTTAATTTCGTATTTCCAATTATATATTAGCTTACTGAGTGACATAGTATGAACACTTATTATACAAATAATTATGAGAAGAAGTTTATCTAGGCCTATATTGCTAACTAAATACATGAGACGATTTTCGTTATTTTATTTTCAATATCCAATATTTAGCTATAACACTTGTGATATTTTACTTTTTGAATTTGAATTATACAGTTCAGTAATTAAAATATCGATAATTGACTTCTATACAGACACAGATTAACTTCTCTTCTACAACATTGATAATAGGTGTTTTTATTCTCAAACCGCTCAATAAAGCATATCATTGGAAATAAAAAAACAAGTTTAAATAGCATTTTTCCATATTTTTAACACCCCTTAATTCTATCGAATGTATAACGATTAACACAAAAGTTGAGTAACATTTTAATTCTAAATATTAAATAACGTTAATCGAATTTTTTTTATGCAGCAAGCAGTGATGTAGGCAGATCTGTACAGAAACTTGGGAAAGGTTAGTAAAATTTCTCTAAAGTCTAGATTATATTATACCAAAGATAGTCTCGATAAATCGAACCTTAAAAACTCGATTTTTTTTCTTACTCTTTGAAATGTTTTTAATTTGTGTTTGAGATACCTATATGGTATAGAATATGGATACCTATAATAATATAATATAATATCTTATAATTCGAATAAAAATTAGGCCAATTTATTTTTATTACCCTTGAGTTTCGAGTTATCAAGACACATTTGTTTTTCTTTATTGTTAAACATTATTTTATTTATAATCATAAGTTTTTTCCTAAATTTTAATCCATGGATTCAATATATATTTTTAGCTCTTTCTATAAAAAAAAATGGCAAATGAATGACAACACTTGGCCAATGGTGCGGTCCATACGAAATGGAAAAACAAGGCAAACCACTGTAATAATTTAACTTATATCATATAAATATATTATTAATGTTTCATGTTCAATTATGGATTAAATGATCCATAATTTTGTTAAATTAATAATAAATTAATTTATTTTGTTAAATCTGAAAAATATTTTTGTTAAGTACTTACTTATATTACCTAGCTTTCCTTTCACTTTTATTTAATTTAAGCTAGATATCAACCATTCTAAAGAAAACGCCTTTTATTAGATTTTTTAATACAAAGACTAATATATTTTGGCCTTAAAAATTAAAAATATATTAGGTTGCACACGTCAGTACGTCACTGACGTTGAGTTCACGTGTACCATCACGACATAGATTATTAACATCATATTTATTTCTGATTATTGTATTTATTATTCAAGATATTGTTTTTACACAATAAATGCTTATATTGGCCAATATAATACTAAAAAAAAAGGTAGTTAAGTGGATGTAACTCTGCTGTACATTAGGTTATAAGTGGGTCACTGTATAATGAATTTAAAACTCGAATTCAATGATATAATAATAAAATATCATTGTATACGAAAATCAATTCTGAGCGGAGACTGTTTGTCAGAGTAGATATTTTATATTATATTTATATTGTTATTACTTATTATTAATACTGTAGCCGGTAAGTTGGATTAATATTATAAAATTACAACAAAATAACTAAAATTTTTATTCTTCATTATTTAATATTATGTAATTTCGTCCAAATTTTAACATAAAGTAACTATACAATTCGTAGAACCTTGTTTTACATTTTAAATCCTTAGTTATAAAAGTTAAAAATTGTATAAACTATAAACGTTTTACTACAAAATTATTTTTAAATATTAAATTTGATAAATGTTGTCAACAAATCGAACTTAAAATGCTTATAAAAAATATGTGTGTCTATGTATTTTTAATATTTTTCAACTACTATTGTAACAATATATCAGGAGCCTTGTATTAAATTTTCAAGCTTTTTGATCCAACAAATAAAATATTATTGACATATTTTATAGAAAAAAAAACTAAAAAAATTGAAAATTGAAAATATCCGTAAACAGCTCGAAAGTAGTTAAAATATTTTGAAAATTTTATCAAGTACGTATAGGAATTGATAAAATAAACATTCAGTGGAAATTTCATGTATCTACAGTTATATGTTTTAGATGTTGGTTAATACCTCACCTATTGAAAGCAGAGTAGTTTGAAATGTTCATGATGTGGATAGGTGGAGCTGATGGGTAGGACTGGAAGCCCGATGTGTCGTCCAGTGAGAGGCAAGTTCACAGGATCATCCTTGAGGTTAGTTGAAGGTATAGTAGTTGATATGTCGTTGATGTCATCAGTGGCGAGTAGGGCTAAACGGTTTGGTGAAACATAGACTTTGGTTTTTTTGTAATTTTGACTTGGAAAAATTGACGAGGTTGACAAATTTTGTTTTGAGGATTTTGTTGTACGTGGCGAAGCGGGACCAGTTTTCTGTATGTTTTTCATCACAATGGATGTAATTATATAGTCGGAACTGATAGTCAATAATGACCGTAATAAGTTACTAATGAGCGCGCACCTCGATAACGGAGAGGATTTGATACAATGCAGTGTACTTGTGTTCTGTGTTCATCAATTTACTGTCGAAGTAATAATGTGCATAAGCAGTCACGGCAGATCGTCGATAGCACCAAAAAAAAAAAAAGGTGCACAAATCAAACACTTGACTTACAAACACAATATGGAATTCAATCTAAGGTCTTCTGGTTGACAAACTGAGTGGTATACATAAGACGGGACCTTCTACTGTACCTATACTCAGTTCAGGTTAAGAATGAACCGGCTTCGAGCATGCAGACTGAGCCGCCGAACAGTGCCTGACCACCCGTGCGATGGCTATGCGTTCTGTGATTGGCCGACAGTCATCGGCGACGGTTCTGGCGGCTGTGCATAAGCTCCCACCGGTGTCCGGAATGCGCGAAAAAAACGTGTTTTGGTCGAGCGAGCGGTTCAATCTTAATCTAAACAGAGTATATATATAGATATAATATATTTTGTACTATAAACCGAATAATAATATTTTTTACAAAAGTATCAAATATAGTAAACTCACGATATACATTGCACAATATGAAAATTATAGAGCTCAATAAACAGTATACAATATACGTATTAATAATAATATTGTATTTGAATAAAAACGAAAAACCATTCATTGATGGGATAATAATTTATATTATACGTAACGTGTGCCGTCACGTGCCTGTTGTCACTATTAATCATTAAATCAATCGACAATTTCAGTAATGATCCGTATATAATGTCACACTTGGCATTATTAGTTATATTACTTATTACCGTAATCTATAGGTGCAGACAGGACAGGTATGACCTGACCCCGTCGACAACCATAGTTGTCGGCAATCAGGTGTGGCAAGATCAAGCGAGCACTTAAATTTAACGACCGATACAAATAATAAGTTCTCACTTGTTTAAATAACAATAAATAGAAAAATAGCAGGTAACTATGTGTATTATGTAAATCGATCATGTTCCAACAATAGTCGTTACACTTTACTAACGACCGCGACGGTGCAGACCACATAAAAAATTTAAAAAAATGTTGATTTTGTCTTAAAATAAAATTAAATGTACACATCGTCAACACAATAAAAGCTAATGATAACGATTGAGACCATATTGTTTTTCGTATTACTTTAATGACAATGTTTACTAGTTTATGTATAATCGGGCTAATATAATATTATATTGGAAATGTCTAATTAACGCCACACGTGCGGTCTAAACTGAAATTCGTTCAAACGTAATATAGGTATCCTATTGGTTGTTCTAGATTCTTATATGGATTATAGTTAGTTACGAAGCCATAATAATTAACGAAATATAAAAACAATACTCTTCCACACAATAAATTAGTTATATTCATTTGGAAAGCAAGTAAATACAGTAATTTTATATTACCTATTATCAGTGCCGGCGCTAGATATTGCGGGGCCCTGGTCATAGGTAATAGCCTTTAGGTTCTCAGAGAGTAGTGAAATTTTAGCTTTTTTTAAATCAGGATTTTAAAAAAAGTACTGTTTTTATATATAATATAGGTAAATAAGATATATATATCACGTCAAGTGTGACGTTTTAAAATTTAAAAAAAAAATAAAATTATTCTTAGGTGAGTGATAATATAACTTTGTTGACTATAAATTCCAATTATGTATATCTAGAGGTGTTACATTATGGAACAATAACAACTTTAAGTTAAAAACAAAAAAAGTATTGTCAAATTCAAAATTAACTTTTCATTTTTGCGTCACACTTACCCCACTTTACCTTACCTACTCGTGTAAACGGAGACAACACATTCGAGTGCGATTCCTCCTGATGAAACCTCGCTCAGCACAGAATTAGTGGCGTAGCGTGAGTTTCAGTTAAACCTTTGAGTGGCAAATCGTAGGCTAATAAATTCATAAGGGCTGGTTATTTTATTAATTTACATTTATTTTAACAACTACATAAAATCATCAATTAAAAATAAATTAATTCATCAAAATGTTTGAATAAAATAATAAATTGTTTAATATCTAAGTACGCGACCGCTACAGGCAGAATAATGCAATATACGACGGTAGACCACGGTATTCGTATTAAGATGATAATTAAAAATCACGGGGCCCTTTAACAAGCGCGGGGCCCTGGACAAATGTCCCATTTGTCCTCCCCTAGCGCCGGCACTGCCTATTATAAAGGTACATAATAGAATATTATCGTAGCAAAATAAACGTAATAATACATTAATACGTACTACAATATTATATTATGTACTAAATGTCTAAATACTAAATACTAATAGTACAGCAGACGTACATTATATATAATCATAAATATCTAGCAGGTTCGTACATGTAAGCCAGGCACGTATATAGGGAGGGGGAATGATACCCCATGGGTAAAGCACACACATTTTACAGTCAATTTAGGGAGTGGCAAATTTATATTGACTTATTATTATTATTGTGTATTTATTGTATCAAAAAAAAAATACATTTATATTTCATATTTTTATTTTTATTATAACCTTCCGTCAAGAGCAAATATAACAGCTCAAAAATGTATATTGTTTTCATCAATTACCTAGTCGGAAAATAATACTAATAATTACAAAAAATATTTAAGTTTAACTATAAACTAAGAAAGGGTTTTACGTTGCCATTATTGACAGTAGGTACAGTAGATTTTGAAGAAATTTTCATTTCATTTTCAAATCTCCATTCTAGGAGAAAGTTATAAATGTACCTACCTATAGATTATAATTATTAATAAAATTAAGATCAAAAATAATTAATACATTTTTTTTAGTTTATAATTTATTTTCATAATATGAGTATAAACCATAACTACTCGGATACCAAAGGTAATAGATTCTTTCAAATTAATGAACTGTCCGTATGAAATCCCCTTAAAAACAGTCTTTTAAAATTCTTGAGATATTTTCACTACTTTTGAAGCAGCAGCATCCTGTGGAGATAGAAACTTTTATTTTTCAAATTAGATCACACTTTTATACCTTACTTACATAATTTTGCAGATAATTTTACTGAAAAGGTTGAAGTATCAAAATAAAATTTCAATCAATTTGGTACCAAGTTGTTGAGTTATTTAATTTTGAGCACTAAGGATAATATGTCCATGATATTGGGTATGAACTTTTCAAGGATATGGGAAATATTATGGTGAGTTGAACATTTTAGTAATTAATATTAAATATAAATCTATCAACATATATAATTATTTGTAAAAATGGTCAAAATAATATAATAATCACTAAAATACTAAATAGATCATATTATTTTGCATCTATTTTACACTTTTGTAAAACCATTTTTAAGGACTTAATTATCCTTATTATACGCATTGTAATTACTGTAAAACTACTCGTTCAGATTTTGAATTGGATACATCGACATTTTCATTAAAATAATCTACTATATAATTTACAGTGGAAGAGGGGTCCTCATTTGAAAAAAGAGAAGCTTGTATCGCCAGAAGAAAATTCTTAAGAAGTGCAAAAAAATCTCCAGAATTTGAAAATAAGGTCTTTAAGTAGGTGTGTTTAAAATTTCCAAAAATCAAAATTTGAATGAATCCATTTATTAACGAAATGAAAAAATATGCGTGTATAGACCCAACCCATTTTTGGGAATCACCCTTTATAATATTACGTCGTGTGGCCGTTGACTGCCTTTGTGTAATGATAATATTCTATTGACAATATCAACAACGGACGAGTCTCTTATAGATATATAAACGACACAAGCTGTGAGGAGATTGTGGGACAGTGTTCATATGGTACGTAAACCTGTCGCACGCGCATATATATATAGTAATTGGATATCGACATAATGACGCGTACAATAATAATAATAATAATATATTAATATCTCGGGAGGTATTCCACACTCGTCGTCATCGTATATAACATAATACATTGTTATTATTATCATCGTACTCATTGTGCATCACAATATATTGTAGTAGGTATTGTCATTATAAAGACAGTTTTCTGCGTATAAGATTTTATTGGATTTTTTTTTTTATCGATATTTTCGCGTTCATAATCGCTTAACGATCATTCGCTCTCTATAGTACCTTAGATATAATAATATTATGTATATGTTTTTTAATTTTATCGCAATCACGGACGATGAGACTAATTAGTATAATTACTGCTGCGACGACGAAGACGCGTGTCCGACTACCTCAGACCTGTAATTCTATATTATAGGTATACTGAAACGGCTATGTAGTGAGTCCTTTCGGGAAAAATACATTTTCTATATATACTTACCCACGTCAGCAGAATTCACTATCCCATCGTATTTGCAGTATAGTTTCTCATCCATCTCTCTCTCTCTCCGTGTGTGCCTCTCCACATAATATTGTATACGATGAATGGTCAGTTCACACGGCTGCAGCAGTCGTCTGCCGATATGCGATGTCCACCGCAAATGTGCGAGGCGTGAGAATTTCGACAATATATTATAACATATTTCCACTCAACTTGACGTTTTCATATGGTTATCATGAGCATTACGATCGTTATTATTATTTTTATCGTCCGTGTATAACAGGTGTGCGCCACTGCCGTGTGTATAGCAGTCCAGCAGTGTTGATATTGGTGCGGTTTATACGTAAAACATAATAATATATTATATCATATTGTATACGGGCGATGACAAACGCGGCGGCGGCGGCGACGTCATTAATTTTTTTATTTCCTACTATTATTATAATATTATTTCATTCAACAGAGAAAAACACCTCGTCTCCTCCTCTATGAATGGGGGCCGGAGGAATGCCGTTGAATAATACATAAAAAGGCCGCGTTCGTCTCCCGTACAGGAGGTATAGGTACACTCTCTCAATGACGGCGGTGGTTTCAATGAAATTATTTTTGAACGTACCTATATGAAAGCCGATCCCCCGTGAGA